TCTCTCTCTCTCTCTCTCTCTCTCTCTCTCTCTCTCTCTCTCTCTCTCTCTCTCGTACACTGCCGCTGCCTCTCACCCCCCGTCGTCCTCTCCACCGCGTCCCCCCACCTTCACGTACTTATGTGCGTCCAGCGTGTGCAACCACCGACACAATGGCGGCATGCAAACGGGCCTTGCAAATCACATCGGATCGATTTGGAGTTCCCCATTCGCTCAATTGCCCTATATACCTGCATGCAGCGTCGTCGACCCCCGTGGGGAGGCAAACACTCTGTACTGTTCTACCATCGGAGTCGACGAACAAATTGAACGGACGAAAGAAAAAGAAAAAAAAAAAAGCCCCACAAATTGGAAAAGAGGGAATAGGAGAGCGGATTTCAAATTCCCAGGAAAAAAAAATCAGGAAACAAAAACTCAAACACACACGCACACGCACACACACACACAGACACACACACACACACACACACAGACACACACACACACACACATTCATCATCGCTAGAGTCCCCGCCGCATTCGAATGCGGCCATGAAGATCGAACTGGTAACCATTCCCTCACTTGCTTGACGGATTCATGTCGCCGCCCCCCTCCTCACGTCGTCCACCTCCTCCCCCCACACGCCTCGCCATCACCTCGACCAGAAGCTGGAGCACAACGTTACCGTCCTTCATTGCACTGGCAACCGCACCGATTTGAGTGGCCATTTGCTGTGCACCTTCCGCACTCGCCCGGGCGAGAGTCCCCGCCGCATCCCCGAGACCAGCACATAGAGTGCGTGTCGACTCCTCCATGGAAAACCCTGAACCGGATCTCGAAGAGCTGCACCATTCCTCCGCCGAGGCTTTCCCTCTCTCAGTCCGGCGGGACTTCCTGCTGCTTTCAGAATCTTCCTTTGGGGTGCCAGGGGAGGTTCCGTTATCCGAGCCCCCGCTATGTGCACCAGGCAACGAGGAGGACTCCATCGTGTTGTCACACATGGTAGACCTCTTCCCCTGCACCCACGCCATCTCGTCCTACAACTCTTCCTCCAAAAGGAATGTCAAGCCCTCCCTCTTCTTGTCCTCGGCCGGCATGTCCCAGAATGACGGCTTCCCAGACCCCCTGCACTTGTCGTGGATCTCCCCGTACTTGTTTTGCAGGTCAGCCCATTTCTTCCGCACGTCCTCCGCCGATCGGTGATACCCATCCTCCTTCATTCGCCTCGCCATCCAATCATTCCTCACCGATCGCCTCTGGTGTTTTTGTCTCGGTTGGACGGCCGCCATCATTGCGTCATCCTCTTGCATGTATTTCGCCAGTGCCAACCGCTCCTCCAAAGACCACGACTTTTTCTTTTGCTTCCCTCCTTCACCGTCGTCCTCGGTATCACCATCGGCGCCTGGGGAGCGAGGAGCAGCTTGCCGGCCTTGACGTGGCTTTCGCCCGCTCGCCCTACCACCGGTACTTGAAGGAGCGGAGGTCGCAGGAGGTTGTGCGTCAATGGGTTGCTGTGTGCCTTGCCCACACTGCGGAGTGCTTACGGGTTCGTTATCCGAGGCGTCGCAAGACATGCTCACCGGATGCTCGGACATCGTCGGGAATGGGTACCCCTCCGCGGGCGGTTGGAAGCTGTTCGAGGGAGGCGTGTCCGGAGGCACGTATGGTGCTGCATTCAACGGTGGCCTTCCTCTATTGTCGAAACGTGGGCGTTCGAAGTGACCGGCCATCCCATAGCCTCGGCAGTCGTTGCGCTGATCATAAAACGCTGCCTCCCCGGCCATTGGTGGATGCATTCCTGTCGACTGCTCAACCCCCCGTGCCAAACTCGCAACTGTAGCCGACAACAACGATGGAGGAAGTGGTGAGAATCTCATAGAAGCCGATCGCCCAAGCTCCGTTGGATCATGATTTCAAACCGAGGGTGGGCGATAATAGCCCGGGTATGAATTCGCTGGCCGCATGTTGCTCATGTCCGAAGGGGACGATGACAAACCCCCGGCTAGTAGACTCTCGAATCGCCCGGTGTTATCTCTCTCCACACCGGCCCTCCTACGAGGATCGGTCGTGCTCATACGGTTCTGTGACCACTGACGACAACTGATGTCATCCACGCCCTCCATCTCCCTATCCTGCAACCTCCCCGCACGGACCACTCCACAAACCTGTCTTTATGGCCATCTATCTATCTATCTATCTATCTATCTATCTATCTATCTATCTATCTATCTATCTATCTATCTATCTATCTATCTCTGCATGTGCCTCACCGTTGCATCAGAAAATACAAAGCGCCAAGACCTACGAACGTCAACACAACAACGCTTGCAAAAAACAACACGACAACACCCAACATCACAACAAAAACGACGGACATCACGGGACGAACCATACCCGCCTTGCAACCGTCGCAGTCGGCCGAACTTTCAACGACAACGAGTATGGGACGACGACATCCACAACAGCAACACGGGCAGACGTGCGGACGCATCTCACGATGTGGCAATGAGTTGCAAGCCACGCCTTCACGGTTTCTCACGACAACAGGCAGGCGCTCCGTCGCACTGGATGTGGACGTGTCAACAGTAGACAACGACGGGCGATGGACCTGCCACCCGCGACCTCCCCGCCCGCTCAGAACTGCCGAAACGAATCCTTCGTCCCAACGTCCGGGCCCCGCGTGCAAAAGGTCGCCGACGATCTCCTTAGGCCGGCCCACCAGCGATGGCAGGATGAAAGGCAGCACCTTCTCGCACAGTCTGGCCGCGCTCCGGCTGAAAACACTCTGCGGCTGAGGCACGCATGAACGTGTCTGCCACGCCGCGTTTCCGACACAACGCTTCGCTTGATGGAGAGCGGACGTTGGATTCGGAAGACGAAGCAGCCGACCCCCCCACGACGTGGGTGCAGCTTTCGCGAACGATACGTACATGGCTACGGAGATTGCCATTCCACGCACTCTGCATGCCAACACCGGACGAAGGACAGCGGCTTCTGCATGCAGCCGGCCTACATGCTTGTTGTGGCGATACGGAGGCGGGCGACGGAAATTCGAAATCGCAGGGCCGTTGGAACGCGGGAAAAATTCAAAACCCGTGTCAGCGTGTGCCACGGTCCAGGGCCCAACGGTCAGCGTGCGAGAACAACCCTTGTCCGGCCTGAGGCCCGCTGGACCGAACACTGGACCGGTACATGTCCGCTTTGCAAGTGCCCGACTTCCGTCCGAATAACCCGGAGTACGCACCCAAGAGGTAGGTAAACGGGCCGGGTTTTGAAAAATGGGAATTCAGAGCCACGTAGGAGCGAGGGGGCCGCGGACCGAGTGGAAACGTTCGGCCGACGACTTCCGCGATGCCGAAATCCGTCTGTGGGGTCTCGGAAGTTGGCTCAGAACTTCCGAAACCGTTTGCCGCGGTCCTGTGGGGTCCTACCCTTAGAATAAACAGTGCACAAAGGGTTTTTTTTTGTTGTTTTTGGAACTACACTGTATGTTCTTCTTTTTTTCATCTAGATGTGTATAAGAGACAGCTCTCTCTCCCCCGCCTTCGGCGATTGACAATATCCTTCCGCGCTAGATGACATGAAAAAGGTCACATCACCACTTCCGAACACGTATGTCATCCTCCGGCATCCAGCTCTGCACAGAACCGTGAAGATAGCCCCTCCCCTCCAGCGGCGGGTCGAGTTCGCACCGGTAGAAGCGGGAGTCATCCAGCCGCTCCGCGAACTCCTCCGCCATGGCGTCGACGAGTTATCTGATGATGTCTTTAACGACATCACGGTAGTTGCGATCCCATTTGTCCGGAATGATGGGGTTCCGCTTCGTGGCGAAAAGAAGCACGTGAGCCAGGCGACAACCGGCATCGAATCCCATCCCCGCCATAATGTCCATCACGTGCATCCCGTGCACGCGCACCTCGTAGTACCTGACTGTGTGACCAGCCACCTCCTTGCAGAACTCCATCTGACGGTTGTGTGCCCTGCCTCACATCCCGCGCAGGTGGAGGATATCCACGTGGCGCCCGGAAACCGTCTCCGAGACGACAACGACAGTACTCAT